GTATAAATTGTTAACCACCCCCCATAAATATATAAAAAAGATCAGCTGACCTGGAAGTGATTGGGTCAAATATCAGGAGAATGGGGGACGTGCTCAGACAGAGATCAGGGTCTGAAGCCACAGAGGCACATAGGATTAGGGGTGGGGGCTGATGGGTAACTTGGCATGAAGGAAAAGGGCTAGGAGAGAACAAAGCCACGGGGGATGGGGGGGAAGGCAAGTGAGCAGGAGGTCAAAAGACATGGCAGCAACCAGGAGGTAGAAGGTGGCATGGAAAAGGGACAGAGGTTTCCACAGAGGAGACGGTGGCTAACGTCTGGAATTGGCATGGGAGAAAAGAAAGACCATGATCTCACCCCCACTCCTGAGGGAGACAGAGGAGCTTCAGACAAAAGTCAGGTTTCAGGTGGTCAGGGAGGTGAAAGAAAGAGGCTGAGGCTTTAGGGCTATTGTTTAACGCAAGAAGAGGACCCCCAGAGGGCAAAACACAAAGAAGTGCCTGGGAGGGGAAGAAGCACAGAGCAATAATGGTAAAAGCACCCTGAGAGGGCATGGAAAAACACCAAGTGAGTCGGCCCCCATGCTACCAGGGGCATTAGTTCCAGACATCTCCTGGTGAACATGGAAGCACGTGGGGTCCCTGATTTCACCCAGCCTAGCTGTGATGCACTTCAGAGGGAGTCCTGTGTGAAGTGCATAGGGAAACCCCGCTCTCTCAGGAAGAGTGAGCTATGGTATGGTCTGAATGAGGGCACCAGGGAAAGTTGCCAGACTCAGGCTCCCAAGGAAAGGTTAGGACCCAGTGGGCAGTAGGGACCTTAAAAAATGAGACTGGTCAGAGCCTATGTTCACATCCCAGGCAATGTGGGGCCACTGGTTAGTCCCAGGCACAAAACCTGGAATACACTTAAAAAGTAAAAAACAAATTTTCAGCTTAGTTAGGCCTTTGGTTTTTACACTATGTATATAAAAAATCTAGGTGAACAAACTAGATTTAATAATGACTCATAAAAAAACATATGAGGTATTGCACACATGTGAAATTTCCAGTAATTGAGCCCCACCCCTTTAAACCTTTTTAACATTTTTTATATAAAAATTCATTTTTAACATTTTTATATAAAACATCTCTAATACAAAATACATCCTTTTACCTACCTGACAAATAATTATTGAGTTCAGGCATAGCACTACACACTGAATGAGACAGGAAACTTGCTTTCTAGAGGCTCCAGAGCAGTAAGCCTTCTTAAAGTGAACACACATATAACTTAAGTCCTCTGTTGACGACGCACAGCCTGCCCTTGTCCCAAATATCCCTGGTTTGCTGCCAGTGCCATTCTTTGCCACTGCTTCACTCTCCATCAGTTCTAATTATTGCCCAGAGATGAGATGTCAAGCAGTCACCTTTATCCACCATGATTTACTGGCCTAAAAACTGACTTCAGAAAAAATTGGATAAACAATTTTTTTCTTTTGTAGTCAGTAATGGAACTTTACAAATAGTTGAGTTGTATATTAGCATACAATGCAGAGCTCGTGAGTATTGTGCCATCCACTTCCCTGGTCATCTTGCTCTCCAAACATCACTTGAAGAAATACCTCCAGATGCTTGGAATAATGAACCCGTGTTCATTTCACATTGCAAAACTTACGAGTTCAAATGTTTCCTCATTCAATGATTTAAAGCAAGGAGCCAGCCATTAAAAACCAAAACAAAGAGAAACCACAGAGTATCCCTTCCCTCTAAAAGCAGTTTTAAGAGAAATAGAATGTCTCTGTTTTCTATAGACAAAAATAAGACGACATGATAAGAAACAGACTTCAAGCACTGTGGTGGTTGATGTTTCAAATTATTTTCTTCCTTCTCGGCTTTTGAGACTCATAGAATATAGCAGTTGCCCTTATTTTAGGTTTCTCTGCTTAGTGACACTGTCATATGCAGTGTGGGACAAGAAGCATACTGCATCAGTTGTGTATAACCACGACTTTAAGGTTTTAACCCAACATTTCAGAATACCTTGTCCCCCACCAGCTGCAATAACATTTAACTAGTAAGACATTAGTATAGGAGTGTTCTTCCTAGTAGGTAAGGAATATTACTACCTACAATGTCAGGCACTAGCTGGTGAGAAGGCCCCTCCTTGCCCAAGACTCAGAGGTTTTGTAAAAGTCCAGGATGCCAATGCTGAGGACATATTTAAAGCACATTCCTTTCCTTTGATACCTGGTATTTTCCTATAGTTTCTAAGTTTCTACAACAACTCAGTCAAGACCTGGACTGACTAATGGTAACAGTTTTAAAAATCCAAATAAACTGGAAATAATTCAATAGGTACAGTGAGGTATATATGTATATAATTACAAATCCATAATCTCTTATGGACCATTTCAAAATCCAAAAGATTATAGGAAAACTGAAGTTCTTCTGTGTAAGTCATTAGTGGACAGAACCTAATCTGAATTCATATGCTGGCAATGCCTCAAATAAGGCTATCTTATGTGTAGATATTCCATTAATGGTACATATTCTTATCTTAAGCTATAGAAATAGTAACTTACATAGTTGGGGTGGCGGGGAGAAGGTGCTGCCCAGACCACTGGAAGTGTTATGTTAAGATTGTCTTGATGTTCTAACTTATTTGCTTCATTGTACATCAGTGCACCACATTGCCATTCTAAAATCTGAAAATGCCTGATTCCAAAGCACATCTAGTAAAGATCACTATAAAGGAGATGTGGACCTGTGTCAACACCCATTTCCACCCAATATGATTATCATGCAAAAATTATTTGTCTGAAAAGAGCCTGTTTGACTCTAAGTATATAAGCATCAGTAATAAACATGCATAATTTTACATGCAAATGCTCATATTTCAGCATTCTGAAATATTATTCATTCTGACCACTTTATAGCAACAACTTGTTCTGCACACCAGATAAACAACACATACTGCTATTAGATGGCTCAGGAAATTCAGTATTTGGCAGTCTCAACTGAGGAGTCTGAGGTCTCCAGTCATTGTTCTTGCTAAGATGCTGCCAAACTGGGTAAAAAGCTACTTGTACCAGCAATTTTAACCAGTTTATGTGGTATTAGGCAGAATTAAAATAATACTACACACTGCCTACTAGACACATACAGTTTCACAACACAAATGCAAATTAATTTTCACACATAGTCCTAATAAATTTATTCATGCTGAGAAGAGCCTACTAATCTTCAGACATTCTAAAGTGCTATCTAAAGAAAATGAGCATAGTTTTCATACAAATGATATAAACAAAATTGAAGAAGGATTATATGTAGCACAGATAAAAAATACTGCATGCAGTTATTTCTCATTGTCAGCCATTCCTACGGTACCACGGAGCACCACAAATCCCCATGATGTCTCTTTAGATTACATCTTACATTTAAATTTTTATTTTCACTTTAATTTAAAAACACAAGCTGAAAGTCTCAATTAAGCAGAAATGCGATGGACAACTCTCTAAAATCTAAAGAAAAACTTTATTTGTGTATTTGAAATAGTTAAAGATAAAGGCACTATCTTAATGATTTACACATTTGGTTCAATTGACATATATACTTTATTTAAATTAAGAACACATAACTTCAAATAATTTAGTTTCTATAAGAGTCAATTCCATTTTCACATAAATAATCCTAAATGAAACTTAGGATTCGGAATTTTGGAATATCCACTAACCATGCTGCATTCTTTCAGGTTCCACAACTTTGTACATATTGATCTCCCACTCAGAAAACCCTTTCCATGCTGCACCTGTTCATCTTTCAAGGCTCAGATCAAAGTTACCTCTCTTGAAGCCTTCCTCAATTCCTCTGAACAGAATTATTCAACTTTTCTTTTTTGCTATCATCATACTTCTTTCACAGAGGCAATTTTGCTGTAATTATTTTTTCTCATATATTCCCTGACTGGGCAAAAAGGCCTATACAATACAAGAATGGTGATATATTCTTAGTTTCTGTTCCAGAACTTTGCATACAAATGTCTCTCCCTCAATAAATATTTGAATGAATGAATGATCAAACAGAGTTAGATTCCATCATAAGGTCACACTCTCCACAAATACAAACATCTGGTAAGTAAGAAAACTTGTAGGAAATGCTAGACTCTTGTAGAGCAGGAGATTGAAGGAGACACTGCTTAAAACAGAAGGCAGAATTCACAATTGATTTCACAGAATTCCTGCAGCTGTGCTGTGTATATTCAAGTGAGATGAGATGTTAGATGTTAAAAACTGGACAGAAAAGGCAGCTGTAGTAACTTCCTCTATTTCAAGTTTCCTCTCAATGCCACATCGTAAAGCATTCAAAGAGAATAATTTTCAATGATACAGGCTTAAAGAGCAAGAATTCTCTTGGCTGGGCATGGTGGCTTACACCTGTAATCCCAGCACTTTGGGAAGCAGAGGCAGGCGGATCGCTTAAGGCCAGGAGTTCAAGACCAGCCTGGCCAACATGGTGAAACCCATCTCTACTAAAAAAAAAAAAAAAAAAATAGCGAGGCATGGTGGTGCACGCCTGTAATCCCAACTACTCGGGAGGCTGAGGCAGGAGAATCACTCGAACCCAGGAGGCAGAGGTTGCCATAGGCTGAGATCGCGCCACTGCACTCCAGCCCGGGCAACAGAACAAGACTCCATCTCAAAAAAAAAAAAAAAAAAAAACACACTACCGTGATTCAGGAGGTCTGGCTGGGGCCCGAGATTCTGCATCTCTAACAAGCTTCTGGGTGAGGCTTATGCTGCTGGCCTATGAACTACACTCTTAAGGAGCACACAGAGGAAGAGATAGACATATTTGTCTCCAGAGTCAGGGTTGAACTTGTCTTGGTTTTCATTACCATAATACCATGCCCTTATTAATATTCCTTTCTATAAGCTATCTTGATGATATCAATTATATAAAAATTACTGAAAATTCAACTGGAAGAAATTCATATTACTAAAAAATTTTTAATTGTTCTTACCTATACTCTGGTAATGCCATCGAAAGAAAATTCGTTCAGGTAGAAACTGCAGTATTTTCTATTAAAAAAAGATATAAAGAAAATAAACAACAAATGAAATTACACATTTTCATGACAGGCCCATATTACTCACTATAGATAAGTTCTAGAAGAGGAAAAGGAAACTATAATAACATACATACTGCACTTTATGCTGTATTCCTATGGGATCGTTTCTTTCACTTGCCCCAGGCAAGCTTGCTTACCTGAATGTTTTAAAGAGATTACTGTCCCAAGTTTAATTCCCTCCAAAAGAAAACAAGAAAAAAACCTAAAATGCTATTTTTATCTTAAATAACTATTTCTTAAATATTAAAATAATAATTTCCCAAATGACAGATTCCCTAGGTTTCTTCTTTTTCACCATCGCCTTCCCATTTTCATTATAATCACTATTAGTCTCTGACAAAGAACAGGATTGGGAAGAAAAGTGAAAACAAAGAGAATGAGACTGTAAACAACTCAGTGAGACAAGAAAATGAAATCAGTGGCAAGAATTTCATGAAATTAATGGCCAAAAAAACTAATAAGTTTTAGAATTATAGTTAAAAATATCCCCAAACTTTTACAAATTTGACTTTTGTAGATTCCATATACATGAGATCACGCACTATCTTTCTTTTTTTCCTTTGAGACAAAGTCTCACTCTGTCACCCAGGCTGGAGCACACTGGTGTGATTTCAGCTCACTGCAACCTCCGCCTCCATGGTTCAAGTGATTCTCCTGCCTGAGTCTCCAAAGTAGCTGGGATTACAGGTGCCTGCCACTACGCCCAGCTAATATTTGCATTTTTAGTAGAGACAGGGGTTTCACCATGTTGGCCAGGCTGGTCTCAAACTCCTGACCTCGGGTGATTCACCCACCTCAGCCTCCCAAAGTGCTTGGATTACAGGCATGAGCCACCATGCCCAGCCCTATGCAGTATCTTTCTGTGCCTGGCTTATTTGACTTGGCAACAATGTCCTCCAGGTTCAACCATGTTGTCACAAATCACAGCATTTCCTTTTATAAGGCTGAATAGTATTTCACTGTGTATTCATACCACATTTTCTATATCCATTCATTCACTGATGGACACTTAGGTTGTTTCCATATCTCAACTACTGTGAATAATGCTGCAATAAACATGGAAGTGCAGATATCTCTTCTGCATACTGATTTCAATTCCTTGGGGCATAAAGCCAGAAATGGGATTGCTGGGGCATATGGCAATTTTATTTCTAGTTTTTTTGAGGAACTTCCATACTATTCTCCACAAGGGCTGCACTAATTTACACTCCCACCAACAGTATACCAGCGTTTTCTTGTCTCTACATCCTCGCCAACACTTGTTACCCGTCGTCTTTTTGATAACAGTAATTCTAACAGGTGTGAGATGATATATCACTGTGATCTTAATTTGCATTTTCCTGATGATTAGTGATGTCAAACATTTTTTCATAAACTTGTTGGCCAAATATATGTATGGATTCTTTTGAGAAAGTCTATTCAAGTCACCTTATCTTTCAAGCCCATAATTCTGAAAGGTATCTCATACCTAATGTTACTACATGATAATTCTGACAAACACTCAAACACACCCACACACATTCCAAATCCCATTGAGTGAAAAATCCCTACACACCAGACAAGACTTCATTCTTGAAAAATAAAATAAATATAAATAAAATATGTAATCCTTCCAAGATTTCATGAATAGTGGGCAAGAGAGATGATAAAGAAAAGAGTATCATTTAGCAAAAAAAAAAAAAAAAAAAAAAACCCTGACAGACGTTTGCAGGAAACATTACAGAAGTAAGGGGGAAAGAGCTTCACCTCAGCAGGGGCTTCATGGAATGCTTCCTGGAAATGAGGACACTTGAGCTGAGACTTAGAAGATGATTTAAATTAGCCTAGTGGATAGGGACAGAAGAAAGACCATGGGAGAATGCTAGAAGGCAAAGACAGCTTGGTGCCTTACAGGAACCACAGCAGCAGGAGGGTCAGTTTGGCTGGTAGGCAGGGAGAAGGGGAGGAGATGGGCCTGGAGAGGCAGGCAAGCCTGGGGGCTTAATGTCCTCATGGGAACAGTGTGGTCCCTAAATGGGTTCCAGCTGGAGGCGAACTAGAGGCAGCTGAGAGGGGAGGCAGACACAATCACTGAAGAGAGGCAATGGTAGCATTTCAGAGGAGAAATAAGAAGGCCTGGACCAAGATCGACCAGGTAAACAGAACATATAATAGTGATATGCAGGAGATAAAATTGTCAGGATAAGTGGGTAGAGGGGCTGTAGTAAATGGAGGTCTCCATGGCTCCCAGTGGCTTAGTAGATGGCAACACTTTTTTCCAAGAGATCAAATCCAGATCCAATCTTAGACCCGAGGCAAATAAGCTATCAAGTTTGATTCTGGACATCCTGCCATTTTGAGGTGTCAATGGATGACCTTACTGGAGATGTTCTTCTAGGCAAATGTGTAAATGGGTCTGGAGTACAGAGGCAGGATTTGGATGGTAACAGATATGAGCAGCGGCTGAAGCTGTGTGTATATGAGAGCTCTCTTTTGAGAGAGTTTAAAATTAGACAAGATGAAGCTCTGGAGGTATCCGTGAGCTGAGGGAGCTCTGCTAAGAAGGTAAAATGAAGGTAAAGCAGAAGCCAGAGGCTAATGTGCTCGAATCCAAGGAGAAATCTTTGATATGCCGGCTATTTGTATGCTTATTTATTATACAGATTAGAAATATTTAAGAGTATTTATATGCACAACTAGTTCTAAAAAGTTAAACATATTAGAAAATGTGGGAAAATTAACGTCACATAACAAAATGATTTCAATATTAAATCAAGTGAGCTCAGTGTTAATCTCTTGCCTTGAGAACACACAACCTTTATAAGCCAGACACCAAATGCCAGGCATAACAGATCCATTTATAAATTGTACAGAAGTAAACTGGCTGTTTCAGGGGGAAAAAAATCAAAATAAGTCTTCCCCTTGCAATATGCTCTAACATTAATTTTAGATGAATAACACAAAAAAGGAGCTAAATATAAAAACTGGGTTGTTATGTCAAGTTACATGACATTAAAAGGGAATCAGAATAAGTAAAACAGCTCTCTACAGAATATCTTAATAAGAACCCACATGAGCACTGTCTTACCAACAGAACCTAAACTCAAATATCCCCATGATCACACAGGATCAAGAACCCACAGAGCTGGGTTACAACCTACAGGAAAAAATCACAAGCAAAGAGGTTAGAACAAGAAATGCAAAGACTCTGGAACTGAGAATAAGAACAAGGGTCCCAGGAGTTAGGCTGCCAGGCCAAATGAGCAACTCTAGGGCCACAAATAGACATAATCTGGAGATGGCCTGGGGATCACTAGACTCAAGAGATGAAGACAAGCCTGCACCCGCATCTAAGTTAGATCCTCTGGTTCTTTAACTCAAACTTTCTCTTAAAAGAAAAATTTACTATAGACCAGCAATTTGGTCTCTTTGATAAAAAAAAAATTAATGATAATGGCAAGGTGAGTTTTCCGGAAAACACGCTGCAATGGAGGAGTTAGGAGTACAAATGGTCTACTGAGGACTAACACCTGTGAAAGAGAAAAGATGGCAGCAAGATTGGACAGGGGAGCCTCAGACCATGAAGCAGAGCTGATGAATCTCTGCCAACCTAGTGGAAGCTCCAGAGCAAAGATGAGAGGAGCCCAGTGTGACTAGAAATGGCAAGGCCCTTGTACTACTGCCTCTGGCATTTACTGGCCTGGGGCCATGATGCAAAGAGTATGACCAAGAATGGAAAGTTGAAGGTGTGAAGAGCTGGAAGCCATCAGCTAACGCCACCCTTGTAGCTGGGCAGCACATTCTTTCTTGAAGGGGAATGTGTACAGCCCATCTCTATGTGTGCCACAATAATCTTCAAATTATTAATAAGAATATTCTCATCACATTAGAAAGCTGAAGTTCTAAGAGATGGGCCCCCTACTTGAGAGACATGACCTCTCTACTGGCAGTTTCTCAACAGCTGGCTCCTACCTCACACTGATGGAAGCCTGGTCCCACTGAGCTCTCCCCACCCCTTCTGTGCTTCCTTCCATACATTCACTCTGCCTGGGCAAATGGCACAGCAGTGACTTGGTGCCCTATTATCTCACGCATTCTCCTTTAAGGGACCTGGCAGCCCAGCTACATCCCAGGATCATATTCTGATCCCATCTTGCAACTTAATTTAAACATTTCATATAGGAAATGCTGAGAAAAGTAAAGATTCAGAATAGATCTTAGATTAGATGAATGCTTGACATACCCACTGTTCTTCAGATCTTTAATTTAGTCAGGAAACTAATTTAGCAGTGAAAATCATGCTTTTTAGTTTTCCAAAATACATATTGGTCTTCTTGATTTCGTTTTCTTTTGTTAGTACACAACAAAGAAAAACACAGAATGCAGCAAGACGATGTGTATCTACATGCTTGGATACTGTCAGTCTGCCACAAAAGTAATTTCCAACTTATTCTGAGGTCTGGCCTATCATTATCACCACTTCGGGGTAAGTTTTCAGATTCACAAAATGGATGGACTTTAAAAACACTCAAAAAGGTTTGGATATGAAATGCATGCCCAATATCTGAGTTACTAAGAATATTCCCAAATGGATAAAATCTTATACAACAATTCAAAGGCTGAAACATTACGCACACTGATGCTTCTTCTTGTACCCAAATATTGCAAGAGCCATTGTTTAAAGTCTATGAGGTCAATAAAAATAAAGCCCAGCACAACTATCTATGTCCAAATGCTAAGCCTGTCCCTCAGAAAGCCCTAGATGAAGCCTACCTTTACTGAGGCAAATACAATCTGGCATTTCTTCTACTGCAGCCAATATTCTAAGCTATACTGCTGTGAATGCCACATAAGCTATTGACATCTTGTTTGTAGTTTCACTGGAGAGTAAAAAAAAAAAAAAAATCAAGAAAGCCACACAGTGTGAATAAATATTACTTTTCTGAAAAACACATGGCTCTATTTAATGCT